GAATAAGAGAATTTAAAGTCCACATAACGTAGATCTTTCGTTGTTTGGCTAGGTCACGTACAGTTGTAGGGGGGAAGGGTAATGGGTGGAAAGGATGAGGAAATGTTCTCCTGGTTTTTGCCGTGGATACCCGAGGGTAGGGGAGGACTGAAATACTGCTTGCTTGCAAAATCCTCTTATAGTGGAGGTGGAGAGGAGCTGAGATGTTGTTTTGCAGGCAGGATTTCGAAACACAGTAGAGGAGGGGAACGAGGATATTAATCATGAACTCGAAGCAAGAACTGTAGACAGCATTAAAGGAAAAGAGACAACGGTACTACAAAGAAAAATAAATTAGAGCAAACATGAGCCTATGAATAAAAGCGAAAAAAAACAAAAGCAAAAAACTGAGCCATGCGAGCGGAAACTGTCGCACAAAATCCCGTCTTAAAAGGGGACTTCCCTATTTATGGAGCTGATGCTCATGTAAAGCTGAGAGCGAATAAGTTCCACTGTAGAATATGAACTAAACAAAAAGAAGGGTAGGGTAAACGCATGGAGAGGGAATCAGACTTTGCTTTCGAGATTTTGTCGGGCTAGCTGCACCCAAATTGAACTGGGCACCTAGTGAATAAAACTTGCTAGTATTAAGAACTTTGTCTTTGTTATCCACTGACATGAGTTCTGAGTAAATATCTGTGTTAATAAATCATCGCTATCTCCTTATCTTAAGAACAATCTCACCGACTCACAGCAAGAAAGAGAGCAACCGTTTTCACTTTGCCATATTCCTAATAACGTGTTTCTAAGTACATATATATGTGTGCATTAGTTGCCAACTATATTTGCACGTGACGAATTCAAACACGAAGATTTTACTGACAAAAAAAACTTTGCAATAATACAACAAAAATTTTTCAACGACATAATAAAGGTCTTTTAATACATGGTAAGGACTGTACATGGTAAGGACTGTACAACATGGTAAGGACTGTACATGGTAAGGACTGTACAACAATAAAAAAAAAGTCTCCACAATAATACAAGTAACACTTTACAAAAAAAAACAAGAAAAACTTCACTTACAAATTACTTTATAACCATACAAAATCCAGGTTGCAACGCACCAAGCTTACCAGTGCGATTATGCGTTTTGGCGCTAGACTTACACACTGCTAACAGCAGGAATTGTTCCTGCACTGCTTTTTAACACTTTGACTCATAATGATTGTGTTTTGATCTCTTTCCGCAAGCAAGGGAAAAGGATATTGGCTGGGATGAAGGTGCTGCATTATAGAGCCGCACGGACGTCTGGTGTTTATGATTACCAGTTTTTTTGCATGAACTAGGAAGGGTGGAAAGGGACATGGAGGCCCAGCCAAGAAGCAATCGTCCCAAATAGGGAAGCCTGTGTTGTAAATGACACTGTATAATGTATAGGTCAAAAACTTATGAAGTCGTAAAAATCTGAAGTTGTTAAACTAGCGTAAGAGAATGATAGTCATGGAGAACAGGTCGAACCGGATGAAGGTGTAAAAGAATTGTTGGAGGGTTTTTAATGGCCAGAATAGAATGCTTAAAACAGTGGACAGCACAGGGTGGGGAAAAAAAGAACGGCCGAAATCAAGAAATAATTTTATAAAAAAGACGGCGGAGAAAGTTGAAATAGGATAGAAAAGTTATTGAGGTCGTTAATGTGGTTAAAACCGTCCGTCATGTAAAAGACTCGTGTGAAGAGGAGTATGTAAAAGATCGTCCGCCTATGTTTTATCCCTAAACTGCAAACACAGACAGTATGAGATGAGGTTAGGGGCGG